TTCCAAGATGGGATATGGTCCAATATACCTCGGACTCAATTTTCCCCGGATGCCAAACCTGAGAACACCTCGAGTGGGTGACACCTTCAAAAATACCTGGTCACCAACTTCAAACTCAAGGTCTCGTCTCCTTCTATCCGCATAGCTTTTCTGCCTGCTTTGTGCAGTACGAAGGCGTTCCTTGATCAACTGCACAATCTCGGAAGATTGCTGCACCAATTCTGGGCCTAAAATGCTCCTTTCGCCCACTTCCGTCCAACAAACAGGTGACCTACACCTTCGACCATACAAAGCCTCAAACGGTGCCATGTGGATGCTGGACTGATAACTATTATTATATGCAAATTCAGCCATGGATAAGTGTTGATCCCACGAACCCTTCCAATCTAGAACACAAGCCCTCAACATGTCCTCAAGTATCTGAATAGTTCTCTCAGATTGCCCATCAGTTTGAGGATGAAAGGCCGTGCTGAAACTTAATTGAGTACCAAGTGCCTGCTGCAAGCTAGTCCAGAAATGAGACAAAAATCTAGTATCTCTATCTAACACAATAGACACAGGGACTCCATGCAGTTTGACTACCTCCTCCATGTACATATTGGCAAGCTTTTCAATGGAGGTGCCAGTCCGGTAGGGTAAGAAATGAGCTGATTTGGTCAATCGATCAACGATGACCCAGATGGAATCATTACCCTTAAAGGTTCGTGGTCATCCAGTCACAAAGTCCATAGTGATGTTTTCCCACTTCCACTGGGGAATAGGTAAAGGCTGTAGTTTCCCAGGAAGTCTCTGGTGTTCGGCCTTGACTTTCTGGCAAGTCAAGCATTGTGAGACAAACCTAGCTATCTCCCTCTTCATATTCCACCACCAAAATGTACTACGCAAATCGCGATACATCTTGGTGCTACCTGGGCGAATTGTATAGCTAGTATAATGGGCATCTCCCATAATCTCACGCCTTAAAGCATGATCTCTTGGTACACACAGCCTGTCACCAAACCACAGAATCTCATCATCAGAAATCCTGAATTCTTGCATGTGGGGTTCCCCGGCTCTTACTTTTTCCTTCATCTTCTGCAAGAAGGAATCTTTTTGTTGGGCAAGTTTAATTCTATCTATTAATGCCGGTTGTGCACTAAGAGCGGCTAAATAAGCCGTAGTGCTGTCCATTCTCATCTCCACATCAAGTTTCACAAGATCCTCAAGTAACTCCTTCTGAATGGCAAGAATGCTAGAGGCAGTGCCAGAGGACTTCCTACTCAACGCATCTGCTACCTTGTTAGCCTTGCCCGGATGGTAGCTAATGGTCAAGTCGTAGTCCTTTAAAAGTTCAAGCCATCGCCTCTGCCTCATATTAAGCTCATTTTGAGTGAAAATATACTTAAGGCTCTTGTGATCGGTGAAGATTTCACAAGTCTCACCATATAGATAATGCCTCCAGATCTTGAGTGCAAATATCACGGCTGCCAACTCCAGATCATGGGTAAGGTAATTTTCTTCATAAGACTTTAACTGCCGTGAGGCATACGCAATAACCCTATCCTTCTGCATCAAGACACATCCCAAACCCTTTTTAGAGGCATCACTATATATGGTGAATCCTTCCCCATGGATTGGAAGTGCAAGTACAAGAGCGGTGACCAACTTCTCCTTCAAGGTCAAAAAGCTCTCCTCACATTCTAGAGTCCACTCAAACTTGGCATCCTTCCTGATCAAACGAGTCATTGGCTGGGCAATTCTGGAGAAATCCCCCACAAATCAGCGGTAATAACCAGCCAATCCCAGAAAACTCCAAATTTCTGCGACATTATTTGGCCTTTTCCAATTCACCACGGCCTCAATTTTCTGGGGGTCGACAGAGATTCCATCCTTAGTCACCACGTGACCTAGGAATGCAACATTGTCTAGCCAAAATTCACACTTCTTAAATTTAGCAAACAACCTCTTCCTTCTCAACATCTCGAGGACTATCCTCAAGTGCTTCTCATGAAGAGCATGGCTAGAAGAGTAGACCAAAATGTCGTCAATAAAGACAACCACAAACTGGTCTAGGTACTTGCTAAACACCCGATTCATCAAATCCATAAATCTGGCAGGGGCATTTGTGAAGCCAAATGGCATGACTATGAACTCATAATGACCATAACGGGTGCGAAAGGCAGTCTTTGGCACATCATCCGGTTTAATCTTCACCTGGTGGTAGCCAGATCGAAGATCAATCTTAGAAAATACCTGAGCACCCTTGAGCTGGTCAAACAAGTCGTCAATTCTAGGAAGGGGATACCAGTTCTTCACAGTCACCTTATTCAATTCCCGGTAATCAATGCATAGCCTCATGCTCCCATCCTTCTTCTTGACAAACAACACTGGAGCTCCCCAAGGTGATACACTAGAGCGTATAAACCCTTTCTCAAGGAGTTCCTCCAGTTGGACCTTTAACTCCTTCAATTCTGCAGGAGTCATACGGTATGGTGCTTTGGAAACGGGTCCGGTGCCAGGAACAAGGTCAATAGCAAATTCAACCTCTCTATCCGGAGGTAAACCTGGGAGATCCTCCAGAAATACATCCGGAAACTCACGCACCACCGGTATGTCTTCTAGTCTCGATGTCACACTACTAGCATCAGTAACAGAGACTAGGAAACCCTGGCAACCATTTACAAGATATTTCCGAGCCTGCAAGGCAGATACTAACACGGGTAGAGCAAAAGAACCACTGCCTTGAAAACTAAATTCTGGCTCACCAGGAATATTAAAAATTACCCATTTCCGATGGCAGTCTATAAAGGCAAAATGTTTTGACAACCAATCCATCCCCAAAATGATATCAAAATCGGAGATATCTAAAACAAATAGGCTAGCACCCAACTGTCTACCATCAATATAAATATTCACAGTCTTACACACATCTCTAGTAGTCATCACCCCTCTTAAAGGGGTGTCCACATGCAATTCAAAATCAGAGGTATCAACAGGCAAAGCTTGTTTCAAAACATAAGAGCGAGCAATAAAGGAGTGGGATGCACTCGAATCAAATAAAACATATGCAAAATCAGAGTTAACAGGCAAGGTACCCGTGATTACGTCGGTAGCCGCAGCTTCCTGATGGGTCATCACGTGAACTCTTGCCTGCTGGGCTCTTGTCCTAACCCCAACATTCTGTTTCGGTGCCCCTTGATTGGTAGACCCCTGTTGAGATGTAGATTGGGTACTTTGAGTTCTGGGGTCTAGCAGCGGACAATTTGCAATCAGATGTCCTGCTCGCCACATTTGAAGCAAGCTTTAGAAAGAAGGTGGCACTGATCACGGGTGTGCCCAACCTTTCCACAAAAACGGCAAGTAGGTGGAGTAGGGCGAGCACATTGGGCCGTGGATGCCTGGCCCTCAGTCTTGGTAACTCCGAGCCCTTTAGAGCCCTTGCTGATAGCAAGCCTAGGCGGTGCAGGGACAAAGGGCCTACGGCTCCCATTGAATTTCCTCTTCCCAAGGGATGGCCCACCACTAGGTTGCCCTGAGGACTTGACTCTAGCCATAGCCTTCTCCTGATCTATGGCTCTGTCCGCAATCTCTCGATAAGTGGCGGGTTTAAATTGGTTTACCGCCAAATAAATGTCAGAATTTAAGCCCCATAGAAATTTGTCGGCCTTGGCTTGCTCATCGCCGACTTGGCTACCCACAAAAGGCAGATAGCGGTCAAACTCCTCCTTGTACTGTTCAACAGTACTTGACCCTTGCTTTAAATCTGCAAATTCTCTTTGCAGTTCTCACCTTTTGCTGTCCGGTATGTACTCCCGCATGAACACCCTCTTAAAACCATCCTAGGTGCTCAATTCAGGCTCTCCCTGGTGCAGCTTCCGATAACTCTCCCACCAAATTAATGCCTTCCCAGTAAGCATGTAGGTGCCTACATTGACCTTAAGGTCATCGGAAACATGCAGCAGGTAGAATCCCCGCTCCACCTCGGTAATCCATGATTCCACCTGCTCAAAACCTGCAGTACCATCGAATCCCTTGTTCATCATCAACTTCTGGAATTCGGAATAAATCTTCCAACTAGGCACAGCAGGAGCAGAAGAGATAGGAACAGGGGAAACCGGAGCAGGGGCCACAGGAGTAGAGACCACCAGGGATGGAGGTGGTACACTTGTGGCAGAAGATACTTGGCGTCTTATCTCTGCCATAAGTTCCTGAACAAAGGCGGACACTTGGGGATTGCTCGTCCCTCCCTCCTGCGGAGCAGCTTGAGTAGAGGGACTGGCAGCTGGGATCGGAGGAGTGCCCTGATCCTTATGGCTACCCTTTGGGGGGCGTCCACGCCGTTTTGGAGCCATCTATAACCACATAGAAGGTTCATAGATTATTAATCCAATGCTCCAACAGGAAATTTCCCGACAAGTTTCCACTTCCGGGACTAAGCAGCACAAAAAATATCAAAACACAAGAAACCAACACGTATCAAGAAAAGAATCATATAAGCGCCTTTAATCAACCCCACTCTCATGCCTCACCACGTTCCTATCATTCCTTTGCTAGCCAAGTTGTAGACTAATCCTAGGCTCTTAAATTAACCTAGGTTCTGATACCACAAAATCTGTCACGCCCCAGAACCCAAATCCGGGGTTGTGGCAGACGCCCTGCACTCGTGAGCGGGGCCCACAAATGCACAAGGCTCGAGACCTACTGAGTTCTTACCTAGCAATTCAAATTTAAGCCTTTTAATCTACCAAATAGTTACCAGTCGAATGTACAAAATTATCACTTCATGTATATACAATCATGACCAACGCTAAATTCTGTACACAAAATTTTCTATGTCAAACGTGGGTGACTAACGGCTTAGCTACAAAAACCTAAGTCCAAAAGTGCCTAGCCATCTAGCTCGTCACTCCCCCGGGCTCCCCATGCGTTGGGTCTCACTACCTGAAATGGTGGACAAGGAAAAACTATGAGATAAACTCAGTGAGTAAAATATGGAGTGCCCTTATTAAACTTATAGCATGCCAACCAGTATAATCACGAAAACAAGAGATACGGGTACGGAACGAAATAGACGTCTCCTCCATAGATCACGGCCAGTGTTTAACACTCCCACTGGCAGGCAACAGGAGTTGCTAGTGTTTAACTTCCACTAGCAGGATAACATAAACGAACCAGTTCTACAGAAATACATGTCGACATGTGCTAGCGTTTAACACTCCCACTAGCGGGCAACAGGATAACATGACCATATCGGAGACAAAACAGGCTGAATTTAACTGAAGAACATAATTCACCAATCACTTTCAAATCATCAGGACAATCAATTAAATCTCAAGTAGGCATGCTCAATTTAATGAAAAGCATCAAAATCTCACTTTAAATCAATCATACTTACTTTTGCATAAAACGGGTTTAGT